CCCCTTCTAGCAATAACTAAATGGTCTGGATACTTTTTTGATTACCTGACTTAATTGAAAGCCCGATTCGGGGAGGGGGGGGGATGGGGCATAACTCGACCTTCATTCTGACATTTACAGAGATAAGAAAGGAGAGTTAGTAATTAGATCATGGAACACAACCCCCCTCCTCAGCCCAAGGTCTGAATCCGCCACTGAACACTAACAAGGTGAAAATAAACGAAAAAGGATTATGTGTGGCTATAACTTGAAGAGACCAACACGTGCACGAATTGAAAGTATCGAACTAAAGTAAATTGTGGGCTGACTTTTTTAGACTCCATAAACGTAAAACGGAGTTGTTTAAGCCTTGGGCTTATACAATTTCGTAACTGGTTTTTAGGAGGGCTTATAAACTGAGGAGGCTTAATCAGTGAGAGCCTACAACCGGAATAGGTAAAGCGTTTCAAAACGAGCTATGGTAGACAGTTTACACTCTTGTCAAAGCTCATTTGCATATTGTTCATATTTGACAAAAGCATCGTTTTGATCGTTTGGACTCTTTTGTTGATCTCCTAAACAACTTCACTCAACTTAACTTCCTGCGAAAGCCAAGTGCAATATAGACCCTTTGTTGTAATGAAACGAGGTTTACATTATTAAAGAAAGTTTGATTTTGGTAATTTTTTTTTGTTGTTTTGTTATTTTAATGCTATACCAATTTCTTGCTTTAAAGTATTGACTGTGCTGAAAAGAAAAAGGCTTAAATGATTAATTTATAACTGAGACGATTCCTTTCCTGCATAGTTAGTACCTGGACTGAGAGGAGTAGCAAAGATTCAAGAGATTACGGAAAAGGAAAGTGAATGTAACATGAATTGCATGGAAAGGCTAATGAAAGAGCCGGGTGGAGATACTCCTTAGCAACAAAACCCTCGAACGGATCGGAGACTAAGGCCGTCACCACAGGGACCCAAGGTGGTGTATAGTAGGGTCTAGGTAGCCATTGTGAAGGGGTTCAACTGTACAAGAGTCCATGATATGCTTACTTTCATTATTCTGGAAAGGTATGGTATTCTGTAAAACGGTAACTTTAGCTTGTTCACTACGTACAAACACAAGTTGACATAAAAAAAGGAAAATTTTGAATAAAAAAAAAAACTTCTATAAGGCTTGTCAATAACTGAAATAATTTGTTAAGAATTCCGTGTGGGAAAATGCTTCAGAGACGACATTAAATTATATAATGCAATATTTGCATGGCATTTGTAAACTGACACAGGCTTAAGCTTTTGATGGCAGCCTTCTTTCATATACAGATATCCATTCGAAATGAAATTTTGACTTATTATATGGCTAAAAAGGTGTGAGAATTTGACAGGATAGGAATCTGGACAAGCAAGGATCTTACTAACCAGGCGTGAAAAAGTTAAATGCCCTCATCTTCTGGATCACGTTTCTATTTTGACCCTTCCTAATCGATCCCGTTTAATCTTTGGGGGTACTTAGTGAAGCTTTTCTTAACTTGTTTTTGTCTTTGTTATTTTTTTCCGATGCATGAATTTTGAATGAAGCAGTATCCACGTGTTTGGCACGGAGAGAATATATGCCCCTTAGCTTAGTGGGTTACAAAACAAAAATCGATTTGTCCAATAACATAAGTACCTAAACAGTAGTAATCAAAGCCTTCAACTTCCAGTTAGGATACTGTTAGATTTAAAGGAATTAAAAGCAACCAACTCGATTTAAAGTTCTAAGCTTGACCAAAATTTTATTCTTTTTTTTGGCATTTTTTTTTATGGACAAGTATGGGGGAAACGCGCTTGAAACTTTTCATCTAATGGAGTTACGTATGTCTCAAAAGGTGGACGTTTCCTATGATTTGTACGAAGGAAAAGGTAATTACCGAACTTATGTATTTTATCACGGTACAGGAAATGGTCTCCGTCTTTTGAAAAATTTGGAGGTTTTTCACTCCGATAATTGCCAAAATGCTGAGACCATTGCTTTTCGCTTCCGGATAATTACGATAGAAAAAAAGAATCGAGAAAGATCTGCATATAAGCACGACACAGAAAATAATAACGCGAGAAACTTTAACTATTCTTTATAACTAAAGAAAGTTCTGTAAAATAGCGGGCGGTTGTGTTTCCTATAATGAAAGAGACAACTTTGAAAAAATCTCTAATAACGGTCTTTAAAAGTTTGTTTCCAGCTCATCATTATCCGACCAGAGGATTATAAGAATATTTTGATGAGAAAAGATTGGATCTTTAAAAGTTAACTTCGATAAGGATGAATCTGAATAAATCTCAGGTTTAGACTAGACTTCAGTCCGTATTTCCTAGACACTAGCTGGACGTCTTTAAAATCTAAGTTGAGAAGGCACGTGTTGAGAACAAGGCAAACCTGGGTGGGTTCTTTGTTCCATGTAGGGGAATCTCGTCACGATTAGTTTGTAAGAAATAGATAACATATTGACCTAGGATGAAAAAATAAGTGACAAATTGATCTATATGACACTAGCTGTCAGATTCAACTAGTTTTTTGTATATTTGCGCGTTTCAGTGATTATAAAATTCTGTGATTTAAATGGATATATCATGAAGACAACAACGAAGATATATAATCGATAAAAGCAAAACAAAATGAGATGCTCAACCCGTGACTCTTGAATAAAGTGAATATCAGATATCTATCAGTCACGCAATATGTATTTCTTAGCCTTGTATTTTGGAATTAAGAAAAGCGTCCCCAGCAAAACGAAATAGCTACCTAGAAGCTTACTTCACTCAGAATAAAGATCATTATTCAGTAACGAACTTTGTAGAGGATGAAAAGAGTTTGAGGGTTTGGGTTCAAAAGAAAAGGATTTTCAACCAGAGTTACTTCGCCAGTGTGGTCACATCCCAAGTAGAGTTCCTCTTCAAAGAGTTTGAGTATCCTGAAGCCACCGAATCCCTGGGACTCGAAAAGATGGCTCTTGTCATGAATCTTATCTTTTTCCTTGAAAATTGAATATAGCATTGAATTAGGGATGATAACCACCATCTTAATTACAGGCATTATATAAATTATAGACTCCCATTGCAAGAATGCTAAAGTAAAAGTATATATAATTCACCTTAACGTTACATTGTTCAACCTACCCAACCGATTGTTTATAAGGCTTTTGACATAAATTAAAAGGAATCATTTGCCTCGGTTGCCTCAAACACAAAGATTTAATGGATAATTAAGTGGCAACTGTAAATAAGATAAACAAAGAGAACAACTGGAAATGGAGGACATGCAGAACTAAAGAATAAAATAAAGAACTGATAAACGAATGTATAAGCAAATGAAACAATGGATTACGAGGTAAACGGGCTTAGGAATAAATGGATGAATGACAGAATTGATTAACAAATTAATGAATAAGCCTTAGATTAGGAAAATGATGCAGTTCCTTACCTCGGTTGTGATTTCGTTTCCATTACGTTTCAATGCGTATTGTTTATCTTCGTCTTTGAATAAGAGGGCAAAACAATGGGGATTGTTAGTCCCCTGCGGTTTAACCTCCATTTTCATAGTAGCTATGATCAAAATGTAGGAAAGCGAAACTTTTAAAGTTCGGCAGGCAACAACAACGAGGGCGACCATCGGTCTAAATGAAAGTCCTCTTAATGGATAAATGCTGTCTTACAGAGTATCAGTCTAATCTCGATTAGAGGAAATGATTTATCGCTGGTTACCCTGTCGACCCGTTTATGCCATGAAATAACATAACAGTATACTTACTGGTATCATCAGGCTCCTTAAAAGTTCCATCGCAAAACACTTTGTTTTCAATGGGATGCCTCTTCATAACACCGTCACCCATTTTGCTTACTGGGCTCCATAGTCGATAAGTAGTGGCATTGGATATGGAGAATGGGTGTATACTGGATCCACAGCCCATCTATCAAAATGATCACCTCATTAAAACGGTTCCTAGCAGCCCAATGTCAGCAAATTTAAAATTTGCTAATTTAATTAGGACGCGCAGGACATAAAGCTGCCGAAGATAAGAAATGTCCTGCTCAAGGGTCACTCACAA